ACGAAATAAATACGTTGATAATTATCGATTATAATCGGTGCACAACTTTTTTTTATTTGGAGCGATTTTAAATGAACCTAAGTGTTCATTATTGCCACTTCTTCGGTGTAGCTACGTATCATCATTATGATTACATGTTTATCGTCTTCTTCCGTCGTTTCCATGCAATGTGTATTCGTGACACGGACAATCCCGTGTCACCAGTTACCCAGCTAGTTTCGGTGGCGACGGCTCGCATCAGCCACTAACAACAACAAGATAGTTACTTTTTGATTTAAAGCTTTCGTGACTGCAGGGATTCATATTCTTGGTTCTTTCGGTAAAGTCACGTAGACGGGAAACAATAAAATAATACAAATATAAAACAATACAATTCTCACGACGTTTCGACTGCAACACAAGCAATCATCATCAGGTGTGAAAACTACAGCAATAAAATTGTATTGGTTTATATTTGTATTATTTTATTGTTTTCTATTTTTATTATTTTATTGTTTCCCTTCTACGTGACTTTACCGAAAGAACCAAAACTAATTCTTCTGCCGTAGCTGATCACTGTTACAACGCTGTGGGTGATCACGATATAATTTTCTCCGATACCAAGGTTCTTTGCAAACCCACGGGTTTTTATCAGAGATTTGTTCACGAGGCAATTCAGATCTACAAACACAGACACAATTTCAACCGAGAAGATGGTTTCAAATTAAGCAACCATTGGAAAGATGTTCTAAATCGAACAAAACATTAAACTAATTTTCAATGGTACAGTATATTTTTCAAGTAGTGGTACCCCAAACTTTCGCAGCTCTTAAAAATTCCCTTTTCACACCATCAATAGGTAAACTCCCCCTCCCCCCCCCGCGCCAAACGGCAAGTGCACCCGCACGTATACCACCTCTATGCTAAGTCGGCCAATCAAATGCTAATTTTTATGCTAATTCCTTTGTCAAGGCACCTTGTTTCCTCGCACACAGCTTAAAGGTCGCGGTCTGAGCGTGGCTGTGTTTCACTCCAGCGCTGTCCTCGAGACAGCCTGATCCCTTCACCTGATGAAGGCCGCTTGTGTTGTGGCCGAAACGTCGTGATTTTTGTTGTTTTATTTTTTACCTACGTGACTTTACCGAATAGAACCAAAGAGTATGGATCCTTGCAGTCACGAAAGCTTTAAATCTAGAAAAGAATAAGAGAGTTACTGTTGGGGTGGAGAGGCGCCCAACCAGCAGCCAACCAGGAAACTTGAGGCATCGATGATTTGTAATTGTATTACGGCCACTTTATTCAGTTTCATCATCAGTATAATAATCATAACCATCATCTACATCGAAACCTGTATCATCGTCAACATCACCAGCCATGATTTATCAACTGCTGGATAAAGGCTTCTCCCGCTACGAATGTTGTTGGACGATCACCTCTACGCTCGGCTGATCACTCAACAGACGCTGCCTCCTCCTTCCAATATCCATCCCTCCACGTGAGCATGTTCACGTATGTTTGCACACATCCCATCAGTCACACACACACAGCTTCCTTCTTGGAGAGAAATTGGTTCGATTAAGCAAAGCAACCCCTGTACCGGTCTCGACATTCAGTGTCTCATCGGCAGAAGCAGCAGGTTGGTCACTGCCGGTTTTGTAGCGCAGTGCGCTAACCGCTGCGCCACCGCCACCCACAGGTCTGTGAGGTTGAATGAAAAGCACTGCGAGAAACGGCACGAGAAGATACACTCGGCCACTGAAACAACGCGGCCCTGCGAGGAGGAGCCCTGGCCCGAGTGGTTCTCTCTCTGGGGCTGCGCTATTGACGGATCTGTTGAGAATCTCAACGGATCTAAGGATTCGCTTTACCCTGAGGCTGCCACGGCCGATGCTCACGATTCACAGTTCGGTTCTGTTTGGATGAGATCTTTGTGAAGAGTACAATGTGCATGTTCAACGATAACCCTCCACCACCCGGCCACACACCCGACCAATTCGAGTTGTCACGCGGGCCACGCGAGACTGGAGTCGCTGTGGAGGGGGGGGGGGGCGCGAGGCGTCGCGGGGACGCGGGGGGGTGGGGATGCCTCCTCGGCCGCCGCATCCGCTCGGCTCCTCCACGCGCCGCGTGCTCGTGGCCCGCGCGGGGGGGGGGGGGGGTCCCGAGTTCATCAATCGCCAGCCACCCACACCCCCTGCCCAGCCCCTTCGTGCCCCCCGCCCCCTCAACCCGCACCACCTCTGCCCCCCCCCGCTCCCTTCCCCGGCTAAGGTGCTCGGATTTGGAGTCGGAAGCAAGACGAGGAGCTCCGGACGAGAGGAGTCACGACGTGATGGTTCACACACCGCGTGGACATTCACACGTACAGTGCACGAGAAAGTCAAAGATCACCCATGTAGCCTCACAGACTGTTATGGCAAGTGCTATTAGCGAGTAACACCTAATAAGGCTGCCACGGCGCACGAGGGGGTGGGTGGCAAGAACAACATCGGGCCGCCTTTGTCTCCCCAGGCACTAATTTCAAACTGAGTCGACCTAATGATGGCACAGGACGGGTTTCGATATGCGTCGCGGATGTTGGCCGTGAGTAGGAATGTAACTCGGGATTTCCATGTTCGTAGCACAGCTACCACCGCTCCCCGCAAGCACAAATACGTACAAACACTGACACACACATATACATACCAGTAAATACCTGCACACACTTGCACACCTGTACACACAGCAGTAAGCACAAATACGTACAACTGCCATTCGCCTCTAAGTGGCGGTGACGTCACCACGACGCTTGTGCCAGGCCATGTGCACCTTGAGGCCACGTGAAGTGTCGTACGCCCGCTAGCAGGTCACGGGGCAGACCAAGGTGCCACGGGTCGACTGACTGAGATGACTGGCTGATGCACCACTTGTGCCCCTACTGTGCCAATCTGCTGTGCTTTAGCCACCCGGCGCTCCGCTCGTTGTTGTGAGCGTCGCTCCTCCGCCCTCCGTTGTTGTTAGAGGGCGACTACCTCCAACTGCCCAGTAGCGTCCTTCACGAGCCTCCTCCACAGAGGCCGATCTTGACACCGCTGGTACCGGTCATCGGCAAGTCCACTCAGCTCCACGTCCTCCTGTACCACATCACTCTCTCTCTCTTCTCTAGCCCGTGCCGCGCCCGTTTAGCCCCCTCGATCCGGCCGAACAAAAGCTGTTTCGGCATGGGGTGGCTGGGCATGCGGGCTACATGACCCAGCCAACGCAGCCTTGCCTGCCGGAGGAGCTCACCGATGGGGCCTTGCCCAGATCTTTCAAGGATTTGTGAGCTCCAGCCTGGTTAAACCCAGGATGGATCGTAGGCAGGCTAGCCTAAATATTTCTAACCGGCGAAGATGTTCCATTAAGGGGGTCCACGTTTCACAAGCGTAGAGAAGGGAGGGAATGACCGTGGCCGAGAAGACCTGAAGCTTAGTGCGGAGCGACAGACCAGGTAGCTTCCACACAGCGTTACGCAACCGATGAAAAGATATTGCCGCTCGACTGATACGGAGTGAGACCTCTGCTGTTAAACTGGGGCCGGTCATAAGCACACTGCCCAGGTATGGGAAACTCTCCACTCTCTCCACAACTGCCCCATCACCGATTGGGAGTTGTGGGGGTGGAGTGTCCGGGGGTGGAGTGTCCGGTGGTACAAAATACCCAGGCAGGTACTTCGTTTTGGTGGGGCTCATGGTAAGGCCCCATCTCTTAGTGGCACGCTCCAGTCTCAGCAGCAGCGTCTCCAACTCCTCCTCTGAATGAGCAGCTATTACCAAATAATCGGCATACATAACGTGGTTGAGCAATAGGGAGCCATCCCTTGACCGCACCCGGGCATCGATCAGCCTCCCATTATATCTGTACCAAATGGAGATTCCCCCGGTACAGCTATTGAAGGCTTCACGAACTACGTGGTCAAAATATATGTTAAATAATGTGGGAGCCAGAGGACATCCCTGTCGCACCCCAAGGTGTACAGGGAATGGCTCGGACTTCCGGCCACGTAGTTTTACCCGGGCCCGCTCACCATCATGAAGGTCCTTAATGATCGTTAGCAGGGGGTGAGGGACTCCAAAAGCACGAAGAACAACCCAGAGCCCAGGCCTACTGATGGTTTCATTGGCCTTGATCAGGTCAATAAAGCAGAGATGTAGGTTTTGTTGGAATTCCCTACACCTCTGCTGTAGCAGACGGACAGAAATACGTACACACACTGACACACACACATATACATACCAGTAAATACCTGCACACACTCACACACCTGTACACACAGCATGTACACGTATCAGTAAGCACAAATACGTACACACACTGACACACACACATATACATACCAGTAAATACCTGCACACACTCACACACCTGTACACACAGCATGTACACGTATCAGTAAGCACAAATACGTACACACACTGACACACACACACATATACATACCAGTAAATACCGGCACACACTTGCACACCTGTACACACAGTATGTACACGTATCAGTACAAACGACAGATTTAATCTAAATTCTAATGATGTTCTCAAAGGGCGAGAGAGATTAAATGCAGCACAGATGTACTGCAGAACAAATAAATATTTGCGTATAACTGCGGAAGCAACAATATTCAAATAGGGCTTAGATCGACCCGGCCTTCAATAACGACGTGTAGGTGCGTTGTGTAAAGATCAGCACTGGGAGACAAAGACGGCCGGGCGTGGTTCTGGCCACACCGCCCCCTCATGCGGCGCTCTAAATTTCTGCTCGCTCACAGCACTTGTCCCAACAGTCTGTAAAAGGCCACACGGGGAATCTTTGTCTTAAGTCCATGTGTATACTTACCGTGCGTAACAGAAGAGCGTGACTGGCTGATGGTGTTCCCGAAGGGTTACAGAGCGGACTGGCTTCTCCCGGACTCAGGGCAGCGGCAGCAGCAGCAGCATCATCGGTGGGCCGAGATGTTCGCATGCCGTGGAGTGTCTCGCTACGGCTGAGAGAGAGCGGCCAACACGATGGCCGCACAGCGCCGGCTCCCTGGAGCTCCTCGCGTTGGCTGCAGCAGCAGCAGCGGCACGAGCCAGGGCACGGGGCGCGTTCGAGAGCTCCTCGCCGAGGAGATGGAGCGATTAAGTCAGCTCGTGTGCGGGAGCGAGGCTGATCGTGCCGAAAGAGACGGTCCACGGCTTTGGGGAGGACTTCATCCAGCAGTGGATAGACCGTGGCTTCTGATGATTACGACGCCACAAGACCAAGGCATGCGCTTACACAGCGGCACCATGCACACGTGTGTTGCCGTGTATGTGTGCGGTACACAAGGTATCGTAAGTATACACGTGTGTAGTATACACGTCTAGATGTAAGGTCAAGGCTGATTAGCAGGGTGCAACTCTACCCTTTGGTTATTTCGGTAAAGTAACGTAGGTAAAAAATAAAATATAGTTAATCAAATAACGACGTTTCGGAAGCAACACAAGCCTCCGCCATCAGGTGGGATAGTCATAGCAAGAATTAATTTGCTGTAGTGGAACTACAGCAAATTATTGCTGTAGTGGAACTACAGCAAATTACTTCAGCAAATTACTTCTTGCTGTGACTATCCCACCTGATGGCGGAGGCTTGTGTTGCTTCCGAAACGTCGTTATTTGATTAACTGTATTTTATTTTTTACCTACGTGACTTTACCGAAAGAACCAAAGAGTATGGATTATTGCAGTCACGAAAACTTCAAATCTAGCATGGTGATAGTTAACATGTCACAAATCGAACAAAATATACATCTAATGGTGGATGTTGAATAGAGATGAATATTCATCTTAGCCACCATAATGCGTTCGTGGCTTTCGCGATCTGCTACATGTAGGTGTACACACAAAGACAAAGATTCCCCCTATATTCATAATATAGTCTTCATAGACTTTTGGGACAAGTGCTGTTCGCGTGCACCTATGAAGGGGCGTCTTTGTCTCCCTCATGAAGTGTTTACACACCACACCAGGAATTCATTTAAGGCTGAGTCAACGTAGGGGAGGCCCATGACCGGTTCAGATAATCGTGACTGATGGTGGCCCTGAGCGGGGAAACAAACTCGGGTCACCGCGTTCGTAGCGCAGTGCGCTAACCACTGCGCCACCGCTCCCCACTGCATATATACATATACAAGACGAAGATCTCCCGTATAGCATTTAACAGATTTCTAGGGGTGGGTGGCCAGCACTAGGCCCGGCCGCCTTTGTCTCCCCAGTACTGATGGTTTTTACACACCGCACCAGGTACTCATCGGAAGCTGAGTAGACACACGCATACACACATGTACACACATATACACACATGTACACACATGTGCACACGCATACACACATGTACACATATGCGTCAACTCACACATACACAGACACGTATACCGGACAAACACACGTATGCACCCGTGTTCACGTGCAAGAAGGTGTGCGTGTTCACACGTGTGTATTACAGGGGCACTGAGGAAAGCCGTGATCGCGAATCGAAATCGCGACGCCAAGTTTCCTAGCGAAGTGCGCTAACCACTGCGCCACCGCTCCGCCGATTTGACTTCATGCAACTGCAGTTAATGCAGCTCCGTTCAATGATGCTATGCCAGTTAACTCGATGCAGTTAACCTACCGAGAGGTAACTTGACACCAGTTCACTCGGCTGCAGTCGACTTACCTCGAGCTAACTCGACTCCAGTCAACTGGACTCCAGTCAACTCGACTGTTCACGGAATGTAATAACGCGCCTCTACTGAGCGCGAATTCAGTGAACGCGCCACGCTGTCCTCCACGCAGTCATCTCCACCATCTTCACAGTCAATCACACACACAGACACACACAACACATACACACACACAGGCACACACACAGACACACACAACACAGACCCCGTGTAGCCTTTAACAAACTGTTGGGGCAAGTGATGTTAGCAAGTAGCACCTATGATGGCCGGTACGGCACACGAGGGGTGGGTGGCCAGCACCACACCCGACCGCCTTTGTCTCCCTAGTGACGATGTTCACACACCGCACCAGGTACTAATTTAAGGCTGCATAGACCTAGGAGAGCCCTAGGACCGGTTAAGCTATTCGCCACGGTCATCCGATATTGTAACATGCATACACAATATATAATATATAACACACGCGTCCATGATTGTGTAGTTCGTATAACATAAAATATTGCAAATGCACAATCCGCGATCCGTGTTGTACAAATCCCGCAATCGGCACGCCACTGCGGGCTGCGGCTACGATCGTGACTCTCGCCTCCTCTGTGCTCTGGTTTCTCTTTGCTTCATGGTTGTGATTTTATTGTATTCGTTTTGCTTTCGTCTTTGTGGTGAACCAGGTCACTCACTCTTGCAAGCGAGACTCCCATCCTGGTCTCTCTCTCGAGTCCTCGCTTGGCCGCCACGCAGAATCGCCTTGACACTTGGGACCTCCAACGGGTCCATCGACATCGCTATAGAGAGAGACCCAGCCACGCTCATCGCTAAACAGGGTTTGTCAACATCACTCCGGTTCGTCTCTTCATCTGAGACCAAGCGAGGGAGGCCGCAGAGGCCCGGACTCGTTTGTCGAGACCTGAGTCGAGGTCACAGCAATCGCCACATGGCGCCAGAGTGGAGCGCACTACCCGGGGAACGCAGAGACAGGATACACTTTGCTTAACAGCAACGACAGCCATCGAGTTACAGAGTTCCATAAACACAGAGTTGTCGTTAGCATCAGAAGAGCGATACGCGTCACGCCCAGAGTTGTTACCGCATCGGGACAGAGCATTGGGCTTATGCAAGGCTTCAAATTTAAATGCCGACTTACAATGTCTTCAAATAAAATATTTTAATAGCGAATATATTCTGGAGTAAGGAACAATTACAAAACAAAAGTATCAGCAGCAACAGCAGCAAGAGGTTGTAGAATGCGACATAAACGTTGCAGAATAAAAACGGCTTAAGCGTGGAACTAGGCGGGTTGGTGTTGCGCAGTGGGAGCCGTGGCCGGCAGGGGACTCCGACAGGGGACTCCGACAGGGGACTCCGACAGGGGACTCCGACAGGGGACTCCGACAGGGGACTCCGACAGGGGACTCCGACAGGGGACTCCGACAGGGGACTCCGACAGGGGACTCCGACAGGGGACTCCGACAGGGGACTCCGACAGGGGACTCCGACAGGGGACTCCGGCAGGGGACTCCGACAGGGGACTCCGACAGGGGACTCCGACAGGGGACTCCGACAGGGGACTCCGACAGGGGACTCCGACAGGGGACTCCGACAGGGGACTCCGACAGGGGACTCCGACAGGAGACTCCGACAGGGGACTCCGACAGGGGACTCCGACAGGGGACTCCGGCAGGGGACTCCGACAGGGGACTCCGACAGGGGACTCCGACAGGAGACTCCGACAGGGGACTCCGACAGGGGACTCCGACAGGGGACTCCGGCAGGGGACTCCGACAGGGGACTCCGACAGGGGACTCCGACAGGGGACTCCGACAGGGGACTCCGACAGGAGACTCCGACAGGGGACTCCGACAGGGGACTCCGGCAGGGGACTCCGACAGGGGACTCCGACAGGGGACTCCGACAGGGGACTCCGACAGGGGACTCCGACAGGGGACTCCGACAGGGGACTCCGACAGGAGACTCCGACAGGGGACTCCGACAGGAGACTCCGACAGGGGACTCCGGCAGGGGACTCCGACAGGAGACTCCGACAGGAGACTCCGACAGGGGACTCCGACAGGGGACTCCGGCAGGGGACTCCGGCAGGGGACTCCGACAGGGGACTCCGGCAGGGGACTCCGGCAGGGGACTCAGGCAGGGGACTCCGACAGGGGACTCCGACAGGGGACTCCGACAGGGGACTCCGACAGGGGACTCCGACAGGGGACTCCGACAGGGGACTCCGACAGGAGACTCCGACAGGGGACTCCGGCAGGGGACTCCGACAGGAGACTCCGACAGGGGACTCCGACAGGGGACTCCGGCAGGGGACTCCGGCAGGGGACTCCGGCAGGGGACTCCGACAGGGGACTCCGACAGGGGACTCCGGCAGGGGACTCCGTCAGGGGACTCCGACAGGGGACTCCGGCAGGGGACTCCGGCAGGGGACTCCGACAGGGGACTCCGACAGGGGACTCCGACAGGGGACTCCGACAGGGGACTCCGACAGGAGACTCCGACAGGGGACTCCGACAGGGGACTCCGGCAGGGGACTCCGACAGGGGACTCCGACAGGGGACTCCGACAGGGGACTCCGGCAGGGGACTCCGACAGGGGACTCCGGCAGGGGACTCCGACAGGGGACTCCGGCAGGGGACTCCGGCAGGGGACTCCGGCAGGGGACTCCGACAGGAGACTCCGACAGGGGACTCCGACAGGAGACTCCGACAGGAGACTCCGACAGGAGACTCCGACAGGGGACTCCGACAGGGGACTCCGGCAGGGGACTCCGGCAGGGGACTCCGACAGGGGACTCCGACAGGGGACTCCGACAGGAGACTCCGACAGGGGACTCCGACAGGGGACTCCGACAGGGGACTCCGGCAGGGGACTCTGACAGGAGATTCCGACAGGGGACTCCGACAGGGGACTCCGACAGGGGACTCCGGCAGGGGACTCCGACAGGAGACTCCGACAGGGGACTCCGGCTCGGCAGCGACGATGCAGACGGGACCACGAACACTCCCAGGAGCGCTCCCATCACAGACGCAACGAGGCCCTCGAGCGATGACAATCACGCGGTCGGGTACGGGGAGAGACATCGTCGTGACCTCACAGCAGCCACTACAGCAGGCGGCGGTTCTAGGACGCTACAGATGAACACGGCAGCATTCAGTCAGATCCTAGAGTGATGCCCAGCGCTTCTGGGCATGACAGCGATAAGAGGCTATTGAATTCAGCAAATCGAAAATTGTAAACACCAACATCGCGGCACACATTTACGGTTCAAGAAATGACAGCTACGCGTGAGTTTCGTAAATACGTCAATCGGGTCCTAGAGTTCCCTACACGGAGACGCGCACTTGTCACAACACCGTCGCTGCGAGGATGCGGGCTCCTATAGCCCTGCTGTTGTCCAGCCCGGGGCGGCCGGGTCCAGAGGGCCACGTGGCCACAGCCCGGCTCCGAACAGCACGCAGAGAATCGGCGACACGAGACCGCGTCTGTGTAACACGCGTGAGATGAGTACCTAGTGCGGTGTGTAAACATCACCCCTTGGGGAGACAAAGACGGCCGGGCGCGGTGTTGGCCACCCACCCCCTCGTGTGCCGTGCCAGCCTTTATAGGTGCTCGCTAACAGCACTTGCCCCTACAGTCTGGTCAGGCTATACGGGGTATCGTTGTCTTTTTATGTATGCGTGTTTAAATGCATCGTTACATCAGATTGTCGTATACATAGACACAGATTCCCCGTATAGTCTCCAACAGGCTGTTGGGTGAAAGCGCTGTCCGCGAGCATCTTTGAAGGCTAAGGCGATACGCGACGGGGTGGGATGGCCAGCACGCCCGATCGTCTCCGGCAGTGCTGATGTCAACGCGCAGAATCAGGTGCTCATTTGAGGCTGAGTCGATCTAGCGGAGGCCCGCGTCCATTTCAGATATCCGCCACTGATGTTGGCCGTGCGCGGCAATCTAACTCTGATTTTTAGCGCAGTGCTAAACCACTGCGCCACCGCTCCCCGGATTCACGAATCATCACGCGACGTGTTTATGGTTCACCTCGAGAAGCGGTTCGGGTCAAGGGCCGGCGAAGCGAGGAGCGCGTGCGTGTGGGGTGGTGTGTGTGTGGCGTGTGTGTGTGGGGTGGTGTGTGTGTGTGTGGGATGTTGTGTGTGTGGGGTGGTGTGTGTGTGTGTGTGTGGGATGGTGTGTGTGTGGGGTGGTGTGTGTGTGTGTGGTGGTGTGTGTGTGGCGTGGTGTGTGTGTGTGGGGTGGTGTGTGTGGCGTATGTGTGTGTGGGGTGGGGTGTGCGTGTGGGGTGGTGTGTGTGGGGTGGTGTGTGTGTGTGGCGTGGTGTGTGTGTGGGGTGGTGTGTGTGTGTGGGGTGGTGTGTGTGTGGCGTGTGTGTGTGGGGTGGGGTGTGTGTGCGGTGGTGTGTGTGTGGGGTGGGGTGTGCGTGTGGGGTGGTGTGTGTGGGGTGGTGTGTGTGTGTGTGTGGGGTAGTGTGTGGGGTAGTGTGTGTGTGGTGTGGTGTGTGTGTGTGTGTGTGTGGGGTGGTGTGTGTGAGGTGTGGTGTGTGTGTGTGCGGTGGTGTGTGTGTGGGGTGGGGGTGCGTGTGTGTGGGGTGGTGTGTGTGTGTGTGGGGTGGTGTGTGTGGGGTAGTGTGTGTGTGTGTGGTGTGGTGTGTGTGTGGGGTGGTGTGTTTGTGTGGCGTGTGTGTGTGTGTGGGGTGGTGTGTGTGTGGCGTGGTGTGTGTGTGGGGTGGGGTGTGCGTGTGGAGTAGTGTGTGTGTGTGGCGTGGTGTGTGTGGGGAGCGGTGTGTGTGTGTGTGGGGAGCGGGGTGTGCGTGTGGGGTGGTGTGTGTGTGTGGAGCGGGTTGTGCGTGTGAGGTGGTGTGTGTGTTGGGTGGTGTGTGTGGGGAGCGGTGTGTGTGGGGAGCGGGGTGTGCGTGTGGGGTGGTGTGTGTGTGTGGGGTGGTGTATATGTGGGGTGTGTGTGTGGGGAGCGGTGTGTGTGTGGGGAGCGGGGTGTGTGTGTGGGGAGCGGGGTGTGTGTGTGGGGTGGGGTGTGTGTGTGTGGTGGTGTGTGTGTGGGGTGGTGTGTGTGGGGAGCGGTGGTGCAGCGGTGAGCGCGTCACGGACCCGGCGTCTCGAGCTTCCATTGCTCACCACGGCCAACTTCAGTGGCGAGCGACTTTAAAGCCGGCTCATGGCTTAGCATCATAGGTCGACGCCGCTTTCTAAAACTTACGCTGTGCCGCGTGTAATTATCAGCACTTGGGGAGACAAAGACGGTCGCTGCTGCTCCTCCGAGTCGCGCGGCGCTCACGCGAGCCGCGAGCAGCAGCAGCAGCAGCATCGGTGGACCGAGTAATTCGCCTCCCGTTGAGCGTGACGCTGCAGCGCTCTCAGCAAAGGCTTGGACGTAACCCCAGCGAAATGTCCGTGCGCTCTCAGCCTTCTAGAACATCGTTAGCATGCACCATCACTCATGCACGCGCGTCTATACACAGCACACATAGACCATCTGTGTTTAATGTGAATGTCCATAATCCACAGCTCTTTGTCTCAATCCACTGCTGGATGACGGCACTTCCTCTCACCGTGTCGGCCGTGGTGGTTGTTCGACCATACTTCACCACGCTGGTCAGTGTGGGTTGCCGAAGAGAAGGGGTGGGTGGGGGGCTGGGCTAGCACCGGTTCTGAGATGTCACTCTCATCCCCCGATGTTGACAAACTCTGATCGCGTGGGCAGCAGCGCGATGCGCTAACGACTGCGTCAGGGGCCCCCTCGTCGGCTCGTGCGAGCGTTGTGCAGATGCGGAAATGTGCTGTGCACAATGAGCATTGCGAACCAGTATATTTGTATTGATGTAATGTCTGCTGATGTTACAGGCGATCAACAACATATGTATTGATCGGCTGTAACATAATATGTAATATAATGTAAATGTGTACATGAACATATACATGTGTGTGTGTGTGTGTTTAAATGTTTGTACATGCCCACGTGTAGGCTGACACGAGGGTATATTATATTTGTATTCGCAGGGCTTAATTCCAACCAGGTCAGAGACACGAACACCCAGTATCTCTCTCGCCACGAGTCGTGGCTCCGCCAACCACGGCCATACACCGACGAATACAAGCCTAGAGCAACACGGCAGATACTGAGTGGGGAGTGAAACTCTGGGTGTGTGTACTGTGTCTGTCATTGTGTTATATGTACATATACATGTCTGTGTAGTATGCGTGTCGTATGTATATGTAGTACAGTATGTGTGTACTATGTGTGTGTAGTGTGTGTGCAATAGGTGTATGTGTGTAGTATGTGTGTTTAGTATGTGTGGGTGTAATACGTGTGTAATATGCCTAGTAAGTAGACAAAGTGGGGAGTGGTAGTGTAGTGGTTAGCTCGCTTGAATATGAACCCGGTGAATTCGATTCCCGCTCACGGCCAAACACCAATGAAGATTATATGAACCAGTCCTGGGCCTCCCCTAAGTTGACTCAGCCTCAAATAAGTATGTTGTGAGGTGTGTAAACATCGCCACTAGGGAGACAAAGGCGGTCGGGCGTGGTGGTGGCCACTTACCTCCTCGAGTACTGTTTCGGCCTTCATCGGTGCTCTATAACAGCATTTGTCCCAACAGTCTGTTAAGGCTACACGGGGGATCCTTGCATTTTGTAGTACGTGTGTAATGTGTGTGTGTGATTGTGCGTCGGCATGATCGCGTGTGTGTCTACACTCACAACACTCAATACAATCACCTGCAATGCTTCACTCTATTCACAATGTTTGAACATTAATCATTCAGATTTCCACTTGTTCACTTATCGGCGGTCAGGCGCTTCCTTATCACTCTTTTATCGCTGCTGCCATGGTTACTGTCTTGTTCCCGTGAAATTCACTCACTGATTCCTCTACCCCGTTTGAGGAATCGGGTCTAGCAGGCTGTCGCCTGATCCACACAGCGTTCAACCACCCCCATCACCACCACCACACTCTGTTCAACCACCACCACCACACAGCGTTCAACCACCCCCATCACCACCACCACACTCTGTTCAACCACCACCACCACACAGCGTTCAACCACCCCCATCACCACCACCACACTCTGTTCAACCACCACCACCACACAGCGTTCAACCACCCCCATCACCACCACCACACTCTGTTCAACCACCACCACCACCACCACACTGTGTTCAACCACCACCACCACCACATTGTGTTCAACCACCACCACCACCACCACCACCACCACATTGTGTTCAACCACCACCACCACCACACTGTGTTCAACCACCACCACCACCACCACACTGTGTTCAACCACCACCACCACCACATTGTGTTCAACCACCACCACATTGTGTTCAACCACCACCACCACCACATTGTGTTCAACCACCACCACACTGTGTTCAACCACCACCACCACCACATTGTGTTCAACCACCACCAACCACCACCACACTGTGTTCAACCACCACCACCACCACACTGTGTTCAACCACCACCAACCACCACCACACTGTGTTCAACCACCACCAACCACCACCACACTGTGTTCAACCACCACCAACCACCATCACACTGTGTTCAACCACCACCACCACCACACTGTGTTCAACCACCACCAACCACCATCACATTGTGTTCAACCACCACCACCACCACACTGTGTTCAACCACCACCAACCACCATCACATTGTGTTCAACCACCACCACCACCACACTGTGTTCAACCACCACCACCACATTGTGTTCAACCACCACCACCACCACACTGTGTTCAACCACCACACTGTGTTCAACCACAACCACACTGTGTTCACACTGTGTTCAACCACCACCACAAAAGGCAAAGATACTCCGTATGGCCTTAACGGACTTTTGGGGCAAGTGCTGTTCGCGTGCACCTATGAAGGCCAGAACGGCACACAAGGGGGTGGGTGGCCAGCGCCACGCCCAGCCGCCTTTGTCTCCCCAGTGGCGATGTTTTTTACGCACCGCACCAGGTACTCATTTGAGGTTGAGTCGACATAGGGGAAGCCCAGGACCGGTTCAGATAATCGTCACCGATGTTAGCCGTGAGCGGGAATCGAACTCGGATCGCCAGGTTCGTAGCTAACCGCTACACCACCGCTGCCCCAACCACCACCACACTGTGTTCAAACACCACCACCACACTGTGTTCAAACACCACTACACTGCAGGTGACAACACACCAACTCGCTCTCTCATTCACTCAGCCACTCACCCACTCACCCACCCACTCACCACACTGCAGGTCACCTCACTTCTCTTTCATCTTCTTCCCTCGCTCTGCTCCACTGTGAAATCCCCTCCTCCCCCTCCTCCACGACCACCACCGTCTCGTCTCCCCCAGGCTCTTACAACTTTCCTCCATGTGCTTTTCGGGTTGTACCGCGTGTTGTTTGGCACGATGTCCGACGTTTTTCCGCACGTGCAGGGTGGGAGCTTCTTCAAGAACTTAATATGTATCGTCACGTCCTGGAACTGAAGAAGCATCCAGCACGGAGGGCGAAACGTCGGACATAGTGCCAAACAACACGCGGTACAACCCGATATCACATCGGAGAGTGACGCGGCACAGATCTTGTACCCTCACTCGATTCAAGTAACGCATGCATTCTAATCTGCGACACCCTCGATGGTGCTGTTTGTTGCTGACCGCTTGGCGTTATATGCTCTGGGCACTCCATAGTCTGGACTGCGCCTCCCCCTCGACTTGGCCCCGCGTGCGACTCCCCTGCTCACTGCTGCAGCAGCGTTCTGTGTGAATATCAAGATAGGTGCGTGTGTGTGTGTGGAGGTGCGCGTGTGTGTGGAGGTGCGTGTGTGGACGTGATTGTGTGGAGGTTCGTGCGTGTGGAGGTGCGTGTGTGTGTGGACGTGTGTGTGTGGAGGTGCGTGTGTGTGTGGACGTGCGTGTGTGGAGGTGCGTGTGTGTGTGGACGTGCGTGTTTGTGTGTGTGGAGATGCGTGTGTGTGGAGGTGCGTGCGTGGACGTACGTGCGTGTACGTGCGTGTGAAGGTCCGTGTGCGTGTGTGTGGAGGTGCGTGTGTGTGGAGGTGCGTGTGTGTGTGGAGGTGCGCGTGTGTGGACGTGCTTGTGTGGAGGTGCGTGTGTGTGTGGACGTGCATGTGTGTGGAGGTGCGCATGTGTGTGGAGGTGCGTGTGTGTGGAGGTGCGTGTGTGGAGGTGCGTGTGTGTGTGGAGGTGCGTGTGTGTGTGGAGGTGCGCGTGTGTGGACGTGCTTGTGTGGAGGTGCGTGTGTGTGTGGAGGTGTGTGTGTGTGTGGAGGTGCGCGTGTGTGGACGTGCTTGTGTGGAGGTGCGTGTGTGTGGAGGTGCGTGTGTGTGGACGTGCATGTGTGTGGAGGTGCGCATGTGTGTGGAGGTGCGCGTGTGTGTGCAGGTGAGCGTGTGTGGGTGGAGGTGGTTAACGCACTGCGCTTTTGAACACGGCGAGCTGACCTGAGTTCGATTCCAGGCTACAGCCAATGTGAGTGGCGCGTTACGTGTGACACAGCTGTCCCCAGCCAGCCACGACCCCTCTGCTTCATCAACCGGCATTGACCAGCGTGGTGAAGTATGGTCAAACAATTCCAGTGACCGAGATGGCGTGAAGGGGCCTTCATCCAGCGGTGAATAAACAATGCGCTATGTATTTCGCGTGTACGTTCGCGAATTATAAAACTCACCCCGCCCCTCCACTCACCTGGTCTCACCTGAGGTCACGTGACGCATCCGGCCAAACCCCCCCCACCCCCAGCCGCCTGATCCGCGCGACGTCACGAAGGTCATGGGACGTAAAATGATTAAATCATCTACTCGATGACTCATTCACATCGTCCACATTCATCCCGACGCGTGCATTCATTCACTTCCACCAACTCACACATTTTGATCCGCTCATTCACATTGTACGTACTCGTTCGTATCATTCATTCGCTTGTTCACACCATTCAAAACACAGACACACGCACATACACACGGACATACATACACACAAAAAACAAAGAGCTCCCAGTTTGTTGCTCCAACATACACACACACTTATACACAGCCACTCCACGTGCTCCACGCACGCACCACGCGACCCTGAGCACAGGGTCAGCGACTCCCCGCGTCTCCCGTCTCCAGCAGCGTCTCCTCTCCTCCCCGTGTCTCCCGTCTCCAGCAGCGTTTCCTCTCCTCCCCACGTCTCCCCTCCTCCTAGTCATTCCTTTCCCCCATCCTCCCCGAGTCTCCCATCATCCCGTCTCATCTCCCTACATCTCCCCGCCTATCCCCTCTCCTTCCTCGCGTCTCCCCGCAACTCCCCGAGTCTCCCCCAATTCCCCAGTGCCCGCGGCTTTGTTTGAGAGTTTATTTTACAAAAAAAAAGTCCGGGAGTCGCGTGCTCCCCGCGGAGGCGGTGGGGGTTAGGAGTGGGGGGGAGGGGCACGTGGTCTTGATTAGCGGTGATTGGCAATTACAGAGAAAGCCGCGAGATGCAGGCGCCTCTAGGAGAGATCTCCAGACTGACCCCCACCCACCTCCATCTCCCATCACCGCCATCATCATCATCACCACCACCACCGCACCACACTCCTCACCCCCTATCATCACCATCATCGTCGTCTTCACCACCACGCAACGAACATGGTCACCACCAGCTTCTCAAACCATCACCATCAGTCTCATAAACAGTGATCAATAATGACTTCTACAATCTGCCATCATAATTAACGTCGTCATCATCATGAGTCACACAAACCACCAACATCGCCATCGTCTCTGTCAGCATCACGACCCGCAGCATCGCTACAACCCGCCACTATCACCATAATTAGCTCCGCAAACGCATTATCTCAAAAAAATCAACCGTCATTATTAGTTTCACAAACCATCATCATAACCATCATTACAAGCACCACCAGCAGCATCATCAGAGTCATCATCGTCATCTCAACAAGCCATCGTCATCATCACGATCTGCAATCATCACGCGGCATCCTGGCAGAGCAACATTTCAAACAAGGCCCGACTCCGCTGATGAGACACTGAATGTCGAAATCGGTCCAGGTGCTATCGCTTGTGTTGAACTTCCAGAAGGAAGGCCGTGTTGCTGATGGGATGTGTAAAAAGAGAGTTTTATATTTGTTTCTGTGGAGGGGGGGGGGGGATGTGGGAAGGAGGAGGCGGATCGCCGCTGAGTAATCATCTGGCACGCCACGACCCGGCCCCGCTGTGTCTCAGCACTCCCGTGCAGGAGGGCGCTGCCGCACCAGCCCGACATTGTGTGCCGTGCACGCGCGTCTCCTGCTGCTGCTGCTGTGCAAGGGTGCACGGGGAGGGGGAGATTACGATTATGAGGAGCAGGAGGAGGAGGGGAGACGGGGGGGGGGGTTAAGCAGAAGCAGATGCGAGGTTCTTTCCTTGGAAACATTTAATTACGGCCTGGGCAGAGCGGGCAGTCAGGGCAGGACAGGGAGACAGGGCAGGGAGTCGGGGCAGGGCAGGGAGTCGGGGCAGGGCAGGGAGACACGGCAGGGAGTCGGGACAGAGAGTCAGGACAGGGCAGGGAGACGAGGCAAGGCAGGAAGACGGGGCAGAGAGTCGGGGCAGGGCAGGGAGTCGGGGCAAGGCAGGGAGACACGGCAGGGAGTCGGGACAGAGAGTCAGGACAGGGCAGGGAGACGAGGCAAGGCAGGAAGACGGGGCAGAGAGTCGGGGCAGGGCAGGGAGTCGGGGCAGGGCAGGGAGACACGGCAGGGAAGGGAGACACGGCAGGGAGTCGGGACAGAGAGTCAGGACAGGGCAGGGAGATGAGGCAAGGCAGGAAGACGGGGCAGGGAGTCGGGGCAGGGCAGGGAGACACGGCAGGGAGTCGGGACAGAGAGTCAGGACAGGGCAGAGAGTCGGTGCAGGGAAGAGAGTCGGGGCAGGGCAGGGAGACGGGGCAGGGCAGGGAGACACGGCAGGGCGTCGGGAGAGAGAGTCGGGACAGGGCAGGGAGATGAGGCAAGGCAGGAAGACGGGGCAGGGAGTCGGGGCAGGGCAGGGAGACACGGCAGGGAGTCGAGGCAGAGAGTCGGGATAGGGCAGGGGGAGTCGAGGCAGGGCAGGGAGTTGAGGCCGAACATCACAGCGCCTACGCGACCCTGGCGCGGTAATGAAGCCCCCTCTGTCGGGGCAATTAGCGGTAATTGATGCAGTCACATGGAAATATTTTTAGAAAACACAATCATTGCGGGGGGGAGGGGTGCGGGGAGGAGGGAGGGGGCGGGGCCCAAGTGGGGAGTGGGGATGGGGGTTCTAAGGGGTCTCATCCTGCGGACGGCCGCGATGATGGGGATCCCCGCACCAAGAGGATATAAGGGGAGCCGGGGTCCCCCATGGGGCATAAGAAGCGATGCCCCCCCCCCGTCCCCTCACCAGCAGCCCCCCGTGCCCCCCAATCCCTCAGCGAAATGTCATCACCGCTCCGTCTCCGCGGTGGACATCTTCTCGGGCGCGTCCCCTCCGCTCGCTCCATTGTAAGCCCCCTCAGTGACACAAACCCCAACACTCCGTGTCGCTCAACGATCGCTACTACCTTGGCTATGTTCCCATGACCTTCACTCGTTCATTCCTCCACCCGTGTTGAGGACTCGGGGCTACCAGAAACTCACAATTTCGTCTCATCAACCACACTGTGTTCAACCACCACACTGCAGGTCACAACAACTCACCCACTCACTCACCCACTCACTCACTCACCACACTGCTCACCGCACTGCTGGTCACAACAACTCACCCACTCACTCACCCACCCACCCACTCACCCACTCACCACACTGCTCACCGCACTGCTGGTCACAACAACTCACCCACTCACTCACCCACCCACTCACTCACCACACTGCTCACCGCACTGCTGGTCACAACAACTCACCCACCCACTCACTCACCCACTCACCGCACTGCTCACCGCACTGCTGGTCACCTGACATCGCTTTCTGCTTCTTCTCTAGCACTGATCCATTCTGGAGTTGCCTCTCCCAGCATCGTCGTCGTCTCTGTCCCCCAAAGTTCCTACAGCAATAGGCTCGCTCAATTCAAAATACGCGTGAACTTTGATCGATTCCAACTTTAACAGTTAGTGCCATTTGTTGCTGGCCACTTGGTGCTTTGGGCTTCTGGGCCTGTGGATCTGCAACCCAGTGGCTACCTCGAGCCGGAACGCCGCTCCGAGACTTCACTGGGCAGCCACCGCGTCCCGTCGCTCCGACACGTTCGTAGGGTTACAGGAATATCGCTCACGATTATAAAGGATTACTATGGGTAGGCGTGCCGTGTACTCTAGTCGCATATTCGACAATCCTCTAACTACCCAAAGTCTGAGCTTTCCAACGTTCCGACAAACGCGGAGTGCGAGCTCAAACCACGTGTTAGGCGGCGCGGCGTCGCCTCTACCAAACCCAATTCGCCCCCCCACCTCCTCCCACCCCCTCCCTTCTCCTCCGCACCCCGCCCCCCGCCTCAATGTAAGCGCCTCTTGACCCGCGCGCTCGTTACCCGCGACCCGCGGCGCGCCTCCCCGAGGGCCTCGCCCAGGCTGCGCCGGCGGCGCGCTGCTGCCCCCTGGTGGACATTCTGTTTTGGTTTAGCCATGTCTGTTTGTTGTAGTACAGAGTGAGCCTGATAACTTTCATCTGCATTGTCTTATGGCTGTTATTGTTTGACTTGCATCCCACTGGGATTTTTGCACACAGCGTGGAAATGCGGTGGGTTTTTTTTCTGGAAAACGTTGCTGTTTTTTCCAGGATGTTTCTGTTGCGTGTAGTCACTTTAATATGTTTCTTGTTCATGTTTTGTTGCGATTGCACCCGAGTCAAGAGCCGCATGGCTCACAGGGTTATACCTAATACATGAAACTGATCTTTGTGCATGACGGTGGTGGGGGGGGGGGGGACGCGTCGTTCCTCGTCCGGGATGGTCCGCTCGGAGCCAGCCGGGGGATGGGAGCTGTGTGGTCATTGGGGATTTGCCTTTGGTGATGGGCAGCATTGCTCAGAGGGCCTCTCCATAAAGGTGGAGACCAGAAACCAGCGCAAAAAATCGACCACGGTGCACCACTCACTCATCTGCTCTCCCCTGAGTTCAAGGTGTGGTGAGTGTTAGTGAGTAGGTGAGTGTTGGTGAGTGCTGGTGAGTAGGAGTTCTGGTGAGTGTTGGTGAGTGGTAAGTCTTGGTGAGTGCTGGTGAGTGCAGGTTCACACTAATTGGTGACGTAGCTCGCATGTACAAACTCTTTATTGTCCAATACAAAAACCTAACGCGCTAAGTGAACCCTACGGGTTCATCACAAGGTCACCGGGGGTATGGGGGGCGTCGTGTATTGTGGGGGAGGTGCGGATATGGGATGTGGGGGAACAGGTGAGGGAGGGGGTGCGAGGGGTGTGGGGGCGGTGTGTGGTGTCAGGGTTTGGTGCTGTGTAATCGATCTGTACACGAGTGTGTCTCTATGGAGTATGTAAAAAACATCCTCAATCGGGAGACAAAGATGGTCGGGCATGGTGCTGGCCACCCATACATTCGCGTGCCGTGCCGGCCTTCATCGGTTCTTCTCGCGAACAGGACTTGCCCCAACAGTCTGTTGAAACCTGCATGGGGATCTTTACGTGTGCGTGTGTTTGTGGTGCATCTGTGGACGTGTGCGTGTGTTTGTGGTGCATCTGTGGACGTGTGCGTGTGTTTGAGGTGCATCTGTGGACGTGTGCGTGTGTTTGTGGTGCATCTGTGGACGTGTGCGTGTGTTTGTGGTGCATCTGTGGACGTGTGTTTGTGGTGCATCTGTGGACGCGTCTGTGCGCCGGGCTTAATTTCAGCTGGAGTTGTCCAGGACTGACCTCCGAAAAATATTAATACTCCACCCTAAAGCTGAGACTTTAAACCGCACGTGCGAGCGTGATGTATATGTGTACAACACGTGCGTGTGTGTAACACGTGTGTGTGTGTGTGATGCGTGTACACGAGTGTGTACGTGTGTTTGTCCAACATTCCAAACGGGACACGCACCACACACAGCCACACTCACCCAGTGAGGCGCTCCTCCTCACCAGTGCTCACCGCCGCGTGCTGCCACTCCTGTCTGCAGAGCAACGTCGCTCAGCGTGGCCCAAACGGCACGGCGAGGAGAAGGGCGGCGTGGAGGTGTTTTGGGGGGTATGGGGACACCCCCCCCCCCCATGCATCATCGCCCAGGTGGCTCCTCCAACCACACCCAGGGTCACCACTCCCATCCATAAATGCTCCCAGGTGTCCCTCTACAACCACGCGCCCCCTTCCCCCTGCTGCTGTTCCTTCTCACCTTCCTCTTCCTCACTCACATCCTCGTGTGGTCCTCAATCCTCCTCCTACTACTCTTCTCCTCTTCCTCATCTGCTCACTCTAATCTTCTCCTCGGTTCCAACTACTCCCTTCATCATCCTCCTCCTTTCCCTCCTTCTCCCCCCGCTCCTCCTCATCAGCTCACCTCCTCCCCCTCCTCCCCCTCTCCCCCCGCTCATGGCCGCCCTTCCTTCACTGCAGCGCGAACATCCACACGGGCATGATGTCGCTGGGGAAGTCGAGCTGCTCCTGCTCGGCGAGCACGCGCAGCGCGGCGCGCCGCACGATGCCGTGCAGCACGCGCAGCTCGCGCGCCACGCTGCCGTCCACCTCGTCCAGCACCACCCCCTCGCGCGCCACGTTGTCCTTGACGATGATGACCCCGTCCTGGCGCAGCGCGCGCCGGCATCGCACGAGCAGCTCCACCAGGTCCTCGTCGGTCAGGTAGCCTGGCGCGCGGGGGGGGGGGGGGGGAGTTGGATGGGAAGGCAGTGGACGGGAGATGTCAGGCGCAGCCAGACTGGTGCAGTCGCCGTTGTGACCTCGCGGAACGTGGGGCGCACGGGGGCACGTGGCCCCACGAGACTTGTGGACAGAAACGTGGGCTTATCGAGGACCTTATCAACCGCAACTTAATCCGTGACCCGCGCCTTAGGCATGCTCCTCACCTCACCATCACTGCTCTCCCCTCACCGATGACTCATGAATTCAGATGACTCACGTCGAACACACACGCGGCCTCTATCGCTCACCTCGCCCGTGGCCCACCGCGCACGCGTGTCCCCTACCCTTAACCCCTCGCCCGTAGCCCTTGACCCACATCCCACCCGTGCCCTACGGTTCACCCCTCACTTCCTCCCGCCTCACCCTCACGCCTCATTCATCTCCCCTCCTCACGCCTGACCCTCACCGATGACCCATTGAATCCAGATGACGTCGTATGCCGCGCCGGGAGGTCTGAAGTCCTGCAGGCGCGAACAGATGAAGCGATTGACGCGCCGGGCCTCGTCGCGGCACAGGTAGCTCTTGCGGGCGATGTTGAGGAACCTTCTGGTCATGTCCACCATGTCCACGGAGCGGAACTCGGGCAGCAGCAGATGCTTGGTGATGCGGCCAATGCCCGCGCCGCAGTCGAGGGCGAGTTCCGAGCGCGCCTGGCCCGCGCTATCCTGCGCGTCGTCGTCAGCAGCAGCAGCATCAGTAGCAGCAGTCAGAGCAGCAGCACCAGCAGTAGCATAAGTGGCGACATAAGGAGCAACAGCAGCATCATCATCAGTAGCAGCAGTCGGAGCAGCAGCAGCAGCAGCAGTCGGAGCATCATCATCATCAGCAGCAGCAGCAGTCGGAGCAGCATCATCATCAGCAGCAGCAGTCGGAGCATCAGCATCATCAGTAGCAGCAGTCGGAGCAGCAACTTTAATATTATTATCATCCGTAGCATCACGAAAATCACCGGTATGACATCACTACCACATACTGGAATAATCATCACGAACCTTATAAGTTATAACCATCGCCAGCATATCATCATAATGACCATCAATCATCATCACCATCATCATCACTATCAATCATCATTACCATTAATCATCACCATCATCACTATCAATCATCATTACCATCTATCATTATCATGATCACCTTCATCACGTTTCATGTCCAGTTTCCACGGCTCCAGACCGATGTGTGCCGATCACGGCCTGCATCATGGATTGATTCTGAAACTTGTATGAAACTGCACGATGATAATGTGTTGTGTCTGAAACCACCTCAACCGCCAAAAGACAAAGATCCCCCGTGTAGCCTTATCAGACTTTTGAGGGGGTGAGTGAGCAGCACCGGGCCCGGCCGCCTTTACCCGCTAGTGGCAATGTTTACACACTGCACCATGTGCTCATTTGAAGCTTCCACAGTCACCACCATCCGCCCGTGACTCTCCTACCGCGTGGCATGGACTGCCGGCGGCTGCTGCCACCTACCGGACCAGGCGAGGAGTGAGAGTCGAACCCCGAGCAGGGTGGTCCCTCCAGGGCGCGAGCGGGACGGGTCCCCGCACAGGTCAACTCCCGCGCCACGCTATTTTAAACAGTGACCTGGCAATGCGGAGCGTGAGACCCCTTCAGAGGAGACGAGGGGATAATTCTCTCACAGATTGGGGAGTAGTGCCTTGGCTTAGGCGTGTTGATGGCATGCTGGATTGGGGGCAGGGAGCATTCCATAACCAACCGCCTGCTGCTGATTAGGTGCCGCCCCCCAATTATCGCCCTGACCCTTTCCGGGGACCTCTGCGTGTTCCTCACACAGTGGGGGATCTCCCTCTGTCTCTCCTTCTGTCTCTGCCTCTCCCTCTCTCTCCCTCTGTCTCTCCCTCTGTCTCTCCCTGTCTCTGCCTCTCCCTCTGCCTCTCCCTCTGTCTCTCCCTCTGTCTCTCCCTCTGTCTCTCTCTGTCTCCGCGGCTGCAACCAACACCCATCAACCCCCCCTCCCCCAGGATCCGCACCCCGACAAATCTTGCGAGGAAGCGGCGGGACGCGTCGATGTCGATGCCGGCGATCTCCGTGTACCCCCCCAGCATGCTCTCCTCCGTGGGGGTCATCCCCTCGTAGTAGCGGCGCGCCTTGGCGTAGAAGGTGATGTCATTGCCCACCCGCTCGCAGGTCAGCACGAAAATCTTCACTGCAGGGCACACGGACAACAGCGGTCCCACTTCGACGGACGGATTCACGACTGACTTCGGTTTACGATCAAATCGAGTCGTGCGGCGTCTCATGTCCAGTATGTGTAACTGTAGCCCTCCACCACCCGACGGCAGAGACGATCAAATCGAGTCGTGCAGTGGTGACGTCGTGGAGAAAATGTGCCGATTATATTTTGACAATGCTGTCCGATATTTCGCTGGATATTACAACCGGCATCATCAGACTGTCGGGACAGGCTCTGTTAGCGAGCACCTCAGGTGGTGAGTGGCCAACACCACTCCCAACCGCCTTTGTCTCCCGAGTGGCGATGTTTACACACCGCATCAGGTACTCTTTCGAGGCCGAGTCGACCTAGGGGAGGCCCAGGACCGGTTCACATAATCGGGTTCGTAGCGGAGCGCTCTAGCCACTGCGTCACCGTGAACACCTGCGAAGGCCAACGCGGTGCATGAGGGCGCTGGGTGAGGTTCACGCGGAGATGCGGTTACTTACCGAGGGGTGAGTGGATCACGCCCACAGAGACTCGGTTACTCACCCTCACCTGGTGAGTGGGTCCTGGGAAGTCACTACAGACTCGTATATTGCTCACCTGGTGAGTACACGCACCACAGACTCGGGAAGCGCTCACCCTCACCTGGTGAGTACACGCACCACAGACTCGCGAGGCGCTCACCCTCACCTAGTGAGTACACGCACCACAGACTCGCGAGGCGCTCACCCTCACCTAGTGAGTGGGTCTTGAGTAGGTACTGCAGGCTCTCGAAGAAGTAGGTTCGCACCGTGGTCTGCAGAGACGACGACATCCGTGCTGAGCTGCGCGTCTCTCTCCCCGGGGCCTCCCCAGCCGAGACTCTCACTGCTATAATTACCCCAAGGGGGTCGTAGGCAGGGGTACAGAGAGGGGCCAGCACCGGCGGGAGGGGATGGGGGATCAAGGGGGTGGCACAGGGTCTGAAACACGAGGAGACAGACGAGGTAGGCAGAGGGAGAGAGAAGGGCGGGGTGACCGGGAGCCGCACTAAGACGGGGAGGGTAGAGGAGTGGGGTAGAGGAGTGGGCATGCTGGAGTGTAGTGGAGTGGGGTAGGGGAGTGGGCATGCTGGAGTGTAGTGGAGTGGGGTAGAGGAGTGGGCATGTTGGAGTGTAGTGGGGTAGGGGAGTGGGCATGCTGGAGTGTAGTGCAGTGGGGTAGAGGAGTGTGCTTGCTGGAGTGTAGTGGGGTAGGGGAGTGGGCATGTTGGAGTGTAGTGGAGTGGGGTAGAGGAGTGGGCATGTTGGAGTGTAGTGGAGTGTGGTAGGGGAGTGGGCATGCTGGAGTGTTGTGGAGTGGGGTAGGGGAGTGGGCATGTTGGAGTGTAGTGGGGTAGGGGAGGGGTATCCCTTTGCCAGTGCCCGGCTGTTGACACCCTTAACCCCCCCCCCCCCCCCCCCCCCCCCCCGGGTATAGCTGAAATGACGAATGGATCGGGTCGTATTTAATCCCAGAAAGGTCTCGTGAAAGAAGAAGTGTGTTTACAACCTCTTCCATTCCATCCCCCGGAGCGGCATTTGAAACAACGTTCCATGTTGTTCAATATCCCGTTTGTAATGCATCATCGTCGTCATCAGGCAGGGTCACTCCACTGCTGGATTAGGACCTCAAGAGCTGTCTCCCCAGCCGCCGCAGACACATCTCACGATGCTGCGACGCTCGACTCGACCAATCCACCGAGCACCTGAGCACGAGCTGATACCATCCCGCCGTCTCCCCAGCGGACGTGGTCTCCGACGCGTTCCATCCCGTGTATAAATAGCGATGTCGCGTTTTGCGAGAGATGCCATTATTGTCCAGTCGAGATGCCCGGCGTGATTCGGCTGCCGCAGAAGCAGCAGCAGCGGCTGCTGATGGTAAACAGAAACACGCTCACAGCAAAGGGCTCAACCATGCCTCGCGTGGCCGGAGTTGGAGCTGGCAACGATGACATCATGGGTTCGAATCCGGGTTTCAGACGCCCGTGATTCAATCTTGTTCTCCGATTTAATTGCGGAACTTGTTGTGTGTACAGGTGTGCTTATAACAGGTGTGCTTATAACCGGTGTGTATAGAGGAGCGGTGGCGCAGTGGTTAGCGCACTGCGCTACGAACCCGGCGGCAGCCTGAGTTCGATTCCCGTTCACGTCTACCATCGGTGAAAATGATCGGAGATGGCCCTGGGCTTCCCCTAGGTCGACTCAGTGTTAAATTACTACCTGGTCCGATGTGCGAACATCACCACTGGAGGTACAAAGGCGGCCGGGTGTGGCATTAGCTGCACCACCCCCTAGTGTGCAGTGGCAGCCTTGGTCGGTGGTCACTAACACCACTTGCCCCGCCAACCTTGAAGGGGCTACACGGGGAATGTCTTCATAGCTGCGTAGTATACAGGAGTGTATGCAAGTGTGTGTACATGTGGATATACAGGTGTGCGTCTAAGTGTGTGCACAGGTGCATGTAAGTGCATGGGTATTTTCCGGAGCTCAGCCCTGGATAGCTGCGGCGTAAAGTAAATCCTGGGCGCCATCCCCTTGCTTGGAAACGGGTTTATTGAATTGGCCAAACGTCTCAATGTAATTTAATACGAAGTAGTCGACGGCTTTCGCGACCAATATTATCCATAATAAAAGTGTTTGGAGTAGATCGCGTAAATATGTCAATGTAGCAGGACCCTCCTGCAAAAGAGTATTGAGACTAAGTGAGGCTTTTCTGGGTAAACACAGCGAATAAACACAACGAATGACCACGATTACAGCGAGCTTTTCATGGCTAATAAAATCAGCCATAAATATATCAATCCGCTAATCCGTGGGCATCTCTCACGGCCCTGCGATGTCGCGATCCACCACCACGCGAGCTGAGATGTCATCGCTGCACTGCAGGGCGGTGTCACGGCGAGCCCGCTGGACTGAGCCATGCGCATGTCGCCGGCTCGATCTCCCAGCGCGGCAGCTGACGACACAAAGGGCGATTCATGGCACTGATCACAGGCTGATGGCGCGCCTTACTTTCCAGCGCGTCTTATAATCCGGCGCGCTCCATGCTCGTGTGTGACAAGACACCAGATATGTACAACTTTCTGAACACCCCGGGCACAGGTGTGGAGTGCGTCTTATAATCCGGATAAGACAGCAACAATAACTCTCGGTGCGTCTTCTAATCCGGTAGGTGTGTGCGTTGAAGCAGATGCGTACACCCTTTGTATTGATCTCAGGTGCAACATCGGGATGCGTCTTACTTTCCGGTGCGTCTTATAATCCGGATAAGACAGCAACAATAACTCTCGGCGCGTCTTATAATCCGGTAGGTGTGTGCGTTGAAGCAGATGCGTACACCCTTTGTATTGATCTCAGGCGCAACATCGGGATGCGTCTTACTTTCCGGTGCGTCTTATAATCGGGGCGAGGCGCCAGGCGAACAATGAATTAGGGGCCGCAGTCGCCATGGAAACACGGGCGGAGCCAGAGGAGTAGGCGGGAGGGGCCTTGCTCAGCAGCCCTAGCGACGGCGCGCGGTGGCCCCTCCGCTCTCCCCGCGTCCCTCTGCGAAGCGCACCGCGACAACAACAACAACAGCCGCGACAACAACAATAACAGCCACGACCACAACAACAACAATCGCCGCGACAAGATGCAGGCCGAGGACGCGCGATATCTCAAGCGGTACGCGACCCGGCCGTCGGGCCCGACCGGGAGCCTCGGTCTCGCCTAACCGCCCTGCCCTGAGAGGCACTCCCTCGCCCTTGTAGGCTGGTGCGGCGGTCCGTTGGCAAGGGGGCCGGCCCCGTTGATATTTTTTTGATTTATTTTTAGTTTATTTTAATGAGCACGGCGTTGTATTTCGTGTCTTGTGCGCTGCCATTGCTTTATTTCGAATAATGCATCATGCTAATTTGAAATCATTACTGGGTACGTTGTGTGTGTATAGTACGTGTTCATGCAAACGCCGCAACGGCCAAGACCAACGTCGCGAAGTGTCAACCCCGCGCACGGAGTGGTGGGCCCTCATCCAGCAGTGGATTGGCAATGGTGCTGTACTACAGGCCACATACACCTAGGGGCTATGCCTTGGTGTATATTAACCAACAGAGGTAGCAGCAGTTTATCATACCTCACGTCCATGTACAGCCTTTTTGTCAATACACTGCTGAATGACGGCCTTCCCCAGTACAGCGAATCCCCCACGCCTTACGGGACGTGGGGGTTATTTGACCATACTTCACCACGCTGGTCAGTGCGGGTTGGTGAAAGCAAGTGAGCATAGAGAATGATGAGCTCGACAACAATGGGGTTCGCACGCCAAGGTGCTGAGGTTGCTACCTGAGGCGTAGCAAAGGGCGGTTGGTAACCCCATCAGGAACCCGAGAGATTCAGTATAGCATAATTATTGTTTTATTGAGTAAAAAAGAGTGATCATTGTACAGTAGGATGGCAACGCATTATGGAGGCCTTCATCCAGCAGTGGATCAAGAATGGTTGAAAAAAATGCGAAACATTGTTGTCAAAGGCGCGGAGGTGGGGGCGCTGTGCGGCGGGAGTTGACAATGTCCAGCAGATATTTTTACAGCATAGCTCGGGAAGAAGATATTGATTGATCCCTACTATGATGTGTCATGTGCTCTCCCCACTCCCCCACTCTCCCCTTTCCCACCCCTCTCCGCCCTCACTCTCTACTTCCCCCCCTCTCCCATCTCCTCTATTTCCGCTCTCCTCTCTCTCAACCTGCTCCTCCCTCGATCTCCCTGCTCCCCCCCTGCCTCACCAACACCGGCAGGAAGATAAAGGGAGGAAACATCGATGTGCACCCGACGGAGAAGGCTCTGATCGTGCACTATGAGGTGGAGGCCACGATCCTGGGCGAGTTGGGAGACCCCATGCTGGGAGAGCGCAAGGAGTGTCAGAAAGTGTGAGTGCCTGTCTGGCTTGCTGGCTCTCTCTCCCCCTGTCCGTGCAACACGCGGCTGTGCAAAAAGTTGCGCTACGCTGGAGAACACGCAACGTATATGCCCTGCGAAGAGGAGCGTTTGTCAGTCGAATATTTGATCCCCGCTTCTCCTCCGCCTGTTCTCTGCCCGCGCAGGATCCGTCTGAAGAGCCTGAACGCAAACACGGACGTGGCGACGCTGGCACGCAAGGTGCTGGAGGAGTGCCGCCTCATTCCACCCGCGCGGCTGCCCGAGGTGGAGCAGCTGCTGTACTACCTGCAGAACCGCCGCGACGTCTCCTCCGCAGGTGAGCGCGCTCGCACGCAGATGGAATGCAAGATTCGGGCTGGCTCTATTTTTCCTTCTTCCGTTTCTTCCCCTCCTCCTCTTCTCCTTTTACCTCTTTTGATCAGGAATAACGAGGTCCTTTCAACGACTGAGCGAGGCGCTAACATCAAGCCCGTGCTTGCTGCCGGCTTGAGAATATTACTCCATCTTGATTTGAAGCTTTCATGACTGCAGGAACCCATACTCTCTTATTTTTTCTTCTATCTACGTGACTTTACCGAAAGAACCAAAGAGTAATATTTCTCCAGTACTCGATTAGTTGCCGGGCAGTGGTGGCGTGCGTCTGTACTGCAGCACTGTGGAAGCAGCAAACATTGGTGGATTACGCACGAATGTTGCGAAACTCCCAACTAGTGGGCGTCAAGGTGGTGTCATATCCAAGCTCGCCAGTAAATATGGACCTCTAAATGAAACTATAAACAAAATCTTCTTTGGTTCTTTCGGTAAAGTCACGTAGAATGAGAATAAAATAATAAAATTAAATAACACAATAAAATTCTCACGACGTTTCGGCCACAACACAAGTGGCCTTCATCAGGTGAAGGGACGAGACTGTCTCGAGGACAGCGCTGGAGCAAACACAGCCAAGCTCAGACCGCGACCTTTAAGCTGTGTGAGAAGAAACAGAGCGCCTTGACAAAGGAATTAGCATAAAAATTAGCATTTAATTGGCGGACTTAGCATGATGAACGGTGTAGAGGGGGTGAACATGTGCTTTTTTCTTTAACCAGGTAAAGCCCACTGAGCTATATAGCTCTTTCAGAAGTGACCTGGCCACACATTATAGCTCAATCAAGTGGTTTATCATGTGGAAATTTATTGCAGCCAAATACTTGTATAATCTGTCACGTCTGTATGGGATCATGCGTTGCCCCCTCACACACGTTGGTTTTCTCCAAATGCTGCAGTTTCCTTTCACACTTAAACACTAATCATTAATTGGCTGAATACATCTTAATTTACACGCCTCTGTGTGTTGCGTATTACGCAGCGCGGTGGGTGATGTAGTTCCATAGGTGACGCTGCTATACAAACACTCAATTTTATAAATATTTTTTAAGATCTTGCAGTAAAGAATATATATCATTTGCGGTGACATTTAGAAGCAGTAGGCCTCATATAGCCATGGACCATATAAAATGAAGGTACTAAGCGGTGTGAAATGAAGGCGCGAGTCTCCACCCCTGGTGGAATGCATTGCCGCGTTACATCGTTTTTTTTGTTATGTCGCTTCAGAGAAGGAGAAGGTTTCGAGCAAACCCAAAGACCCACCACCGTTTGAAGGCAGCGAGGTGAGCGTGTGGAATGGCTGTGGGATGATTCGTTTCTGTGGCGATTCGAGGGATTGTTACGATTCACAAGTCGCATTAAAACTCATTAATCGATTCTATTTTGCATCATTTGTATTAACTTGAAAACATTCCTTGGTAAATCCATTACTGGTTGTTTGTATTGCCTGTCTCATATGTTCTGTCTGACCTCGTTTGTACTGTGCCATGGGTTTCACCTGTCTCGCATGATTGCCTGTCTTATATTGTCGATCTCGCTTGTATTGTCTGTCTTGTATGTTCTCTGTACCTAGCTTGCACTCTCTGTCTTGTTTGTACTGTCTGCCCATGTGTTCCGTCTGGTGTGTATTTCCCATCACGTGTGTTCTTTCCCATGTCACTCTTTCCATTAGCCTCACGTTGACACGCATGTGCACGGTCGCTGGCTTGGGGAGGCTACGCTGTCAGCAGGAGGCAGTGCAGCAAAATACATTGTTGTACTGTATTATCCTCCCAACGTCTATCCTCATTCCAGAAACATTCAAATATAATTTCCAGAAATCATGAGTAACTTCCCACGTGTGCACAATTCAACGCGTGCAGCGGTAGCGCGTTCGCCATTTTCTCAGAGGTTCACCGTTTGAATCCAGCGGCCGCCCTGGTTATTACTACGCGTGTTTTCACCAAAACATACGTACCGCAAGGTTCACAGTAGACGTTCAAGGTCCTGTGACGTCACGATCCGAATTATATTTTACAATTATATTGCATATTACTCAATTAAAATACACGTAGCAATCGCCCCCGACTGTGAAAACTTGGCAGAACCCTCGTGAAAAAGTCGAGAATCAGTGAGGCCTTCCTGCTTTAAAACAATAAGTGTATACTCTCCCGCGCACGTGCCCCTGCGGGCCAGACGGACGAGGTGGCAAATCTGAACGAGGTGGACCAGTATGTGGAGCTGCTGTACGAGGACATCCCTGAGAAGGTGCGCAGCTCGGCGCTCATCCTTCAGCTCGCACGCAACCCCGACAACCTGGACGAGCTGCAGCAGAACGGTGCGGCCCCCACTCACCCAACTCACGTAGCTCACCCAACTAACGTAGCTCACCCAACTCACGTAGCTCACCCAACTCACGTAGCTCACCCAACTCACGTAGCTCACCCAACTCGCCTAGTTCACCCAACTCGCCTGCCTCACCCAACTCACGTAGCTCACCCAACTCACGTAGCTCACCCAACTCACGTAGCTCACCCAACTCACGTAGCTCACCCAACTCGCCTAGTTCACCCAACTCGCCTGCCTCACCCAACTCACGTAGCTCACCCAACTCACGTAGCTCACCCAACCCACGTAGCTCACCCAACTCACGTAGCTCACCCAACTCGCCTAGTTCACCCAACTCACCTGGCTCATCCGACTCACCCGGCTCCCCCGACTCACCCAACTCACCTGACTCACCCAATTTACCTGGCTCACCCGACTTACCTGGCTGTGGCTCTGCCCCTGTCTCTGTGTCTCCGCTCGTTTCTCTGCTTGCCTCTGCCCCCGTCTCTCTGCCTTTGTTCTGACCTGTGCTCACTTGGGGCTGCTTACGGCAGAGACGGCGCTGGGCGCGCTGGCTCGCGTGCTGCGAGAGGACTGGAAGAGGAGCGTGGAGCTCTCCACCAACATCGTCTACATCTTCTTCTGCTTCTCCAGGTTGGTTACAACCAACCTGTGCCCCCACCCCCTTCCCCCACACCACACAGAGCAATCACACGTCCACGCCTCTATCCAATGCAGTGTTAGTGACGCATTTGAATAGCTGCTCTTTCGAAATCATATTAAGCAAAACTCAAACTCCTTCCTGGCTTTAAGGTAAAGGCTGTGTGTGTGTAACCGGAGCCTATGGAGGCAGCGTTTTAGTGGTTTCCACGCTGCGCTACGAACCCGGCCACCCGAGTTCGATACCCGCTCACGGCCACCAACACCAGTGATGATTATCTGAACCAGTCCTGAGCTTCCCGTAGGTAAACTCAATCTCAAATGAGTACTTGGTGCAATGTGTAAACTTTGCCACTTGGGAGACAAAGGCGGCCGGGGTTGGTGTTGGCCACACCGCCCCCTCGTGTCCCGTGCCGACCTTCATAGGTGCTTGGGAATAGCACTTTCCCCAACAGTCTGTTAAGGCGATAAGGGGGATCTTTGGATTTGTTGTCTCAGCTTTTCCCAGTTCCACGGACTCATAACTCACTACAAGATCGGAGCACTCTGCATGACCATCATCGACCACGAGCTCAAGCGCTTCCACCTTTGGAATGAGGAGCTCAACAAGAAACGCAAAGTGGATATCCTTGCGCCAGGGATCACCGCGTCTTGCCACGCATCGGGATGTGGCTCCTGAGATGCGTGTGTGCGTACGTGCGCGTCAACTCGCCACGCGTGTGTTGGTGGACGCGCTGGACACCCTTGCAAGCGAGACGTCCCATTTAACATGTAGCAGGCGTTCACAGCCACCGTTATGATTCATTACAGAATTTAGAGTTAGACCACGTAATTGATCTGGCAAAATTTATATAATGGGATCTCCTTTGCCGGTACCAAAATATTACAATAGGTTTTTCCCCATTTTTCTGGCAACAAAACAGGTGCTAAGATGTCAAAACACCAAACTGAAACCTTTTACAAGGAATCGTGTCTGCATTAACCACAATTCTTGTCGTCAGAATGCAAACAAAAGGCTGTACGCCTTGTGGCATCCTCCGGTCTAACACCGTTTGAGATGAGGCTCAAAAGAAAGCTGTCTCTGATGTGGACCAATCAGTTTCAAGGACAATGCATATATTATCAGAGTATATTTTTGCTTGCATTCTGACCACAAGCATTGTGGTTAATGCAGACATGATTCCTTGTAAAAGGTTTCAGTTTGGTGTTTTGACATCTTAGCACCTGCTTTGTTGCCAGAAAAAGGGGAAAAGCCTATTGTCAAAATTTATAACGTTCAGAACCCTGCACCGAGACAAGCAAATTGCCACTGTTATGCGTTAAACGCTGATGCTATATTAGGTTGTGAGGATTGTTCTCCCATTTACCGGTGAACTCAAACAATAATAATTGGTGCAGCATTAAACGCTGGTACTCATGACAATTTCTACGGGCGTGTTGAGTGGTGGAGGGTTCCCAATGACTCCCAATTATTATGTCTCTCTCACATATCATTGATGGATCCAGGATCAAGGGATTTTCCATGTGAAACATATGTGCTCTCCTAGAAGGCCGTATGGCTGATGGGATGTGTACAAAATACTTTAGCTTGTTTTATGTGAAGGGATGGATGCGTGAAAGAGGTGTGTTGCCTGATTATTTATATTCTCCACAACTGCGTGATTTATAATTGTGTCTATTATAGAATTTTGTGTTAAGCTAGGACCCATATCTCAGAGAGGATTATTGCCTATAAACATCTGGAACTGCACCAGCATTGGATCAAGAAAACTCGACTGACTGATGAGACACTGAATGTGAAAACCGTTTCAGAGTTTACTTGTATTGAATAAATACTGCTTAAGTTATAGCTGTAGAGTGACTCACTGGGCAGATTGACATGAGGGGACTGGAACTCGTGTCCAACTCCTCCCTGCCGAGTGAGAGCGGTGGCTTCAACCGAGTGAGTATCCTCCTCCAAGGGGGCACCGTTGCACCGTGTTGACCTTAACGGCTCGTCCACCCGAGGACGACCCGGAGAACGACTCGCTGAGGAAGGACTACGAGAAGAACCTGAAAAAGTACCAGGGGCTGGTGGCCAAGCAGGAGCAGCTGCTCAGGGGTACACTGTCCCCACCCCCTCCCGTGTGTCCACACCGCGTGGATGAGTGTGGCAGTTGTGCGGTGGGTGGATGCCGGAGACTGGGCACGTAACGAGCAAGCGATTCCGTCGATGAAATTGAGCCAAAATCAATCTCTCTGCTCGCGTTACATGGCACCGAATCACATGGATGATAATTATTGGTTTATCATTTATGATAATTACATGAAAATGATAGATGTATGTATGTGTAGAGGCAGTGCGCCGACTGGCGGCCATAAGGGCTAATTACGGGTGGGAGAACAGTAAAGGAACAACAGGAGAGAGTATGCACGCGAGCGACCACAAGGGGGGATACCTAGGCCACAGGTCAAATGTATGTTGAACTTCTTTCACACCGTATGTAGCCAACCGTGCTAATCAAAGGTGCTAGGGCTTATTGATTAAGCGAGATGGAACAAACGAGGGAGAGCAGACAAGGCAAATGGTAGCCGGGCAGTGGTGACTACGCACATGGCCTGTAATACAGCACTGTGGAGGCGAGGGCTAGTGGCTCACCACTCAAATATTGTGAAACTCCGTTCCCGTGGGCGTCGAGGAGGAGCCATACCCGGACTCGCCAGAAGAATGTGCGTAGCGGTGCGTGACTGCACGTGTGACGGTGCATGATGTCGCGTGACGGTGTGTGATGGTGCGTGGCTGCCCGTGACCACTGCAGTTGGGTTCTATCTGCTGCTAAACCTGGCGGAGGACACCCGCACAGAGCTGAAGATGCGCAACAAGAACATCGTCCACATGCTGGTGCGGGCGCTCGACCGGGACAATCCAGAGCTGCTCGTCATCCTCTGCTCCTTCCTCAAGAAGCTCAGCATCTTCATCGAAAACAAGAACGACATGGTGAGGCCAACAACGGATTTAAGGGGAGCCCCGGGAGTGTGTTCGTTGCGGGGGCGGGGAGGGACATCTGGGACGTTTGTCTCAGAGACAGAGAGTATGAAAGGATGATTCGGTGGCACAGGAAACCACAGCCAAGTGGTGAAGGTAGCCAGAACCGGTGCCAACCATCGCCCAAACTCTGTGGTCCTATGTTGGTATGTTTGGCCACTACCGAGATAGGGTGCTACTCCGGGTGATTTGGTTGTGTCGGGGTTGGGCCTAAGTAGTGCTTGGATGGGCGACCACCGGCATGTGCGGGGCTACGTGGCAGGCAGCAGAACGTCATGCTGTCAAAAATGTGTTGTGCTGCACTAGGCCGAGCTAGGCGTGGTGGAGAAGCTGACGCGACTGGTGCCGTGCGCTCACGAGGACCTCCTCAATATCACACTGCGTCTGCTCTTCAACCTCTCCTTCGACAGCGGCCTACGGGCCAAGATGGTGCAGGCCGGACTCCTACCCAAGCTCTCTGACCTCATCGGTGTGGCTGCCCATTTGCACGAGAGTCCTCACACTGTTCCTGACATCCTAGTTGATCATCCTGTGTGTCAGGCAGACTGGTAGAGTTCACCACCGCAACGTTCAGGCTGACTGTCCAGTGTGTCGTGCAGACTGAAAAGTTGCACAGCAATGAACCTAAAAGGGAGAGAGTTTTCAATCAATGCGGCGGGCTTGGGGAGGAGGCCTTCATCCAGCAGTGGATTGACCGTGGCTGTGGTGTTTTGACTGCAGGCAGCGAGACTCACCGGCAGACCGTGCTGCGGCTGCTGTACCACCTGAGCATCGATGACCGCACCAAGGCCACCTTCTCCTTCACGGGCTGCGTGCCGCAGGTGCCGCGGCGCTCCCGGCCTCTTTCCCTCTTGCTCTCTGCTGCACCGCTTACGGCCGGGAATTGCTTGGCTTAAGCACCAGTGCCGCCACTCCTCTGTAGATCGTGACCAATGCAGCGTGAGGTCAGCCACACTCTGTACCCCCTATGTTGCTATGGTAGATGCTGTAGTTTTGCTGTAACCCCTCATGTAACAATGTTAATAATAATGTCGACTTGTAACTCGCTGCTACCAGTCAAAACAGATGAGGTCCACATTTTTGCCATACCGCATCCTCTTGGTGAGACAGGGTATGGTCACTTCTTCTAGGCCTATGGGAAGAGTTTCTCAATATTTGTGTGATCCACCAACCCATGCTGCCTCTGCAGTAGCGGATTACAGGCCAGGTGCATAGCCACCAGCATAACGGATTCTCTGTCTCTCGATGTGTGTGCAGCTGATGAAGATGCTGTATGACTTCCCAGAGGAGCGCGTGGACAGGGAGCTCATCTCGCTCTGTATCAACATCGCGGCCAACAAGAGGAACGCACAGCTCATCTGCGAGGGTGAGGCGGACCCGACCAGGGGCCAGCTCCATGCCCCCACCGCCGCGAAGTCAGGCCACACAGGGAGGCAGCGCAGTGTTGGAAACCTGTGCCACAAAGCAAGAAGGCCCTGGGTTCGATTCCCAACTTGGGCATGTTTCTCTATGGAGTGTGTATGTTCTCCCCATGTTCTACAGAGTGTGAGTAAGTGTGTGAGAGGAGTTTGTGTGTTCTCCATAGCTAATGTGACCGGTATTCAAACATCTCGATACTGAACAGTTGCCTGCAAAATACTCAATTGGGATTACACAAGCAGCAATATCATCCCCTACTGCGAAAACCTGGCAAGACTCTCCCAATTGAGTCTCGAGACTCAATTCGACGTCCCTGCATAAACAAAAGATGCTGTTATTGCTCTGATTGTTGATTAACGATGGCGGTGATCCGTATCTCACAGGGAATGGCCTGAAGATGCTGATGAAGAGGGCGCTGAAGTTCAGGGATCCAATGCTGATGAAGATGATTCGTAACATCTCACAGCACGATGGGCCCACTAAGCACATCTTCCTGGTACACGCAGCCCCCTTACGGACAGGGACAGGGGGGAGGGAGTTCAGACTCTGGGGGCCGGGTCATGGACTTTATCAGTTTCTTTGTTAATCAATAATCAATCCTCATCGTTAAACAATGATTACTATCATCAGCTGCATCTCTTCTGCTTACCCCATTGTCCCACTCATAAAGGGTTGGCTGTCAAGTATTCTTTGGGATAGCAGTGTGGCACAGTGGCGCCACTCGTACCTCACAGCAATACTTTCTGGGTTCGATTCCCAACTCGGGTGCCTTTCTGTCTGGAGTTTGTATATTCTCCCCCTGTTCTGCATGGGTTTTATTCCGGTTTTCTGGTTTCCTCCCACACTTCGAAAACACACAATGTAACCGTTGTTGGCCAAAACATCCCAGTGCTGAAAGATTACCAGCAAATCACTCAATTGGGATCACACACACAGCAGCAACATTGTCCGCTACTGCGGAAACTTGGCAGAATTCTCCCGAAAACGAGTCTTGAGACTCCTGGGTAGACGAGCGGAATCATAACAACAAATGATAAAGTTACAGTGTATTCCCGCTCAAGTGAGGATTCGGCAGTGGCTCATCTCTGTGGCCCGAAGCCCAGGGTCCTTCAATGTGTGGCCTGTGGTGCAAATTTGACCTGGGAAGGCTCTTGGAGTGGCCTGCCAAGCTTAGCCCCAGCTGACAGATATGGTTCACCGAGACGAAGAGAGATACGGATTAGTGAGGTGAAGAGATGAACAAGAGAGAAATAGAGATGCGTGCTGGAGGCAAGAGATGCTAATTATTGGTCACATGTACAGATATGACGTCAAGATGCAATACGACGTCCGTACACAGACGTGTGACGTCACGTGGCTCGCCAGCGCACACTCATTGTATTCAACACGTTCGTCAATAACTCTGGCCTCAAACAGAAAACAAAATGTTTATAAAATAGTCGAAATTTCAGGCATTGGCCCTCCGCATATCACAAAATTGCTGTAACCCTTTTACGTGTTCTTATTAAAATATAGTTAAATGGCCTTGGTGTAAATTCGCCCTAACCATAAATAAGTGTTACATGCCCCCAAGCATGTGTAAGTTTTCTCCAGGCACTCCTTTTCTACCACATCTGTAAAAGTTTGTTGATGGAGTTGGCCAAACATTCCAGTGTAGGGTCAAAGAGTAAAGGCAACTGTTGGTAACTCCGGTTTTGCCTGCTGCCTTTACCATTTATAGTTTCCCGTGCCTTTGAATAATTCTCTCTTTCATTATCATCCTCTGTCTCTCTGAGAGTGAATGAAAATCCACGTGTGTTGCACGTTGGGGTATTTATTTGTGGGTTCTGACCACAGCTGCACCGTGCGAAGGGATCGCTTTAGTGAGTGCCGTGCCGGCGCGGACGTTTGATGTCGCGCAGGACTTTGTGGGGGACCTGGCGGGGCAGGTGCGCTCCAACGGGGAAGAGGAGTTCGTGCTGGAGGTGGTGGGGACCCTGGCCAACCTGACCATCCCGGACCTGGACTTCGAGCTGCTCGCCACTGAGTACCAGCTGCTGCCCTTCCTACACGAGAAGCTGCGGCCCGGTAGAGCACAGAGACAAAGATCACCTATACAGCCTCTAATAGACTGTTGCGGCAGGTGCTGTTAGTGAGCACTTTATTTGAGCCGGAACGGCACACGGGGGGGGGGTGGGTGGCCAACACCACGCCCAAGGTTGATTTCTGATGTCCTTTCCAGTACTTGAACATTACCCACGTGACGCTAGCACAGTAGATCGGTGGTAGCTAATGTGATGAGGACGTCGACGCGGTGTGAGACGGTGCCATTGCGTCGCAGGCGGCAGCGCGGAGGACGACATGGTGCTGGAGGCCGTGATCCTGACGGGAACCCTGGCCACGGACGACGCGTGCGCCACTCTGCTCGCCAAGGCCGGCATCGTCCCTCTGCTTATTGACCTCCTCAATGGTGATGATATAATTTAGCGGGCAACTCGCTGCCTTTCTCTCCGTGTCTGTCCTTCCACGTAAATGTTTTAAAAGTATTTCTTACACCCTCATCAGCCACACAGCCTTCTGGGAGTTGCATAATTTCTGCAGCATTGGTTTTGACGCAAGAAAAAAATATTTTCTGATCATCAGAGTCGGGCTCGCTTGAACCATTGAACTGCGGATCCTCTGTCTTAGATATGGGTCCTAGTTCTATGCGATGTCGTGGAGAATATAAGGAATTAGATAAATAAGCAGACGATCAGTCAGTTCTAAAAGTTCAGAAGTGTGAGGAAATGAGAGAAAAATGTGTCCCAGTAGGGACAACAGGGAACAGTCAATCTAGTATAACGATTCCCTGACATTAGCGGAGGTGTTAATGTGTGGAGCTCATGAGAATAATGACCATGGTAGTAGTAGGGATAAAAGACTAACAAAGGTGGCGATGCTTTTTGTCGTGATGGTTCTAATGTTGATGGTGGTTGTGGTGATTTGTGCTGTGATGGTGATGATAGTTTGTGATGTGGTGATGGTGGATGTGATGGTTTGTGCTGTGGCGGTGATGTTGGTGGTGGTTCCCGTGTGTGTTGGTGCAGCCAAGCAAGAGGACGATGAGATGGTGTGCCAGATCATTTACGTCTTCCACCAGATGATCTTCCACCAGGCCACTCGAGATGTTATCGTCAAGGAGACCCGTATCCTTGGAAAAAATTCTGCTTCATCATTGCACACTGTTCCTGCTCACTGCCTTTAAATAATAATAATTTAGTACGTTTGTTATTCATACCATCAATTTCCTCCGCTTGCTGTGGGTAATGAGCAGGTGATTGCTGCTCCATGCTCGGTCCGTGGGATGGCACGCCAGCATGTTGATGGTGGGTGGGAAGGTGGGTGGGAAGGTGGGCGGGCAGGTGGGCAGGCAGGTGGGCGGGCGGGCGGGCGAGCGAGTGTGGCTCCTTGACGGTGGTATTCCACCAGAGGCGCCGGCGTACCTCATCGACCTGATGCACGACAAGAACGCGGAGATCCGAAAAGTGTGCGACAGCACCCTGGACATCATCGCAGTGAGCGTCGCACCGATCGACTGACCAACCGCTTGCTCACTCATTCACTCGCTCACTTATTCACTCACTTCCGTAAACTAATCCCTGGTTGTGCTGCATGGTCAGGAATACGACGAGTCGTGGGCGCGCAAGATCCAGAGCGAGAAGTTCCGGTGGCACAACTCTCAGTGGCTGGAGATGGTGGAGAACCAGCAGGGGGATGACGGAGACGGCTTCCCCTACGGAGACACCCCCATGGAGCCCTACCTGTACGACCGGGCGCCGCTCCTCTACTCCACCGGTGAGTGCCGCCCTCCCGCACGCAGCCCGACCAGCGTGCGGCGACGTGCACACACAACCTGCAATGTGGGGAGTTGTCAGGGCTTGCACCATGGCGATCCTAGTGCGGTCTTCTACATTATGTTAGGTCCTGGACCTTCCCAAGGTAAACTTGGCCTCAAATGTGTACCTGGTTCTGCATGTAAACATTGGCACTGGGGAGACAAAAGCAGCCGGGTGTGATGTTAGCCAAACCACCTCCTTATGTGTCGCACCGGCATTAAAAGGCGCTCACTCGCAGCTTTTAAGGGTAGACTGGGGGTCTTTGTAAATGCAACACGTTTGTGGTGTGTATGATTGGTAAGTGTATGGAGTGGTGTGTGTTGTGGCATTTCTGTGTTGTGGCGTGCGCGTCAGATGGGTTGCTGGCCCCAGACGGTGCGGTGAGCCCCTCCTACCTGGAAGACTACCGCCTTCCCAATGGGGACTCTGCCAGCAGGTGAGTTAATTGGTGGCATGCAGTCGTGTTTTTTGACAAGTGAGTTGTGTAAATTGGCAGTGCTTGGTGGTAACAATTGGCCCTGTGCGTAGTTTGATGCTGGACGGCCTGGGAATGCCTGCACGACCCACGACGGCGTACGGTTACCGTGCCGACGAGGGCGCCACCGCCTCCTTTTACTACGGCTACGACGCCAACTAAGGACCGGAGATTGTTGCTATAGCGCCCATCTTGCAGCCTGCAAACACCCGCACACCACTCTCACAACGCCCAGCCATAGCACCCTGCACACACCTTGCCCATGTGCTGTGCGTGCCACTGTCCCAACGCCCCCTGCACTTGCAACCTGCACATACCTTGCACACCACTCTCAGAACACCCTCGCCCATGGCTTACAGAACCATGCTTGTTCGAGCTCATACATATGAGGCACCCAATAGCATTCACCTGCTCCTAAATACCTGCGACACAAGCACCCAGGCTTAGGGACCAGGCCCCCACACCTGGTCGTGTTACACGAGCGAGCATTGATGTGCATTCTACTGAGAAGCGGCATCATGATGTCGACCTGTCCGCTCTGCTGTGCGGCATATCTCGTGGTATACATCCACCAGACAGTCCTGGTTTGGCCGGGACAGTCCAGGAATTGACATTTGTGTATGAGTGGTAGGAATTTAATTGTACCGAGATCTGATGATATGTTGAAATGTTATTGCAGCAAACTGCACATTTTTTTAATAATCCACCTAGTGTTGACTGAAACATATGTCCAGGTTTGGTCTCCAGTGGAAAAGGTGACATACCGTGTCACGCTGGGCAGTGTGAGTTGAAGGCGGGGAGCAAAATAAGTAGCGTACAACGGATTTCGCTGCACTCAATTATCCTCCATGTAGCCCCGCAGCAGCCTCTAGCAACCTGCTTGCAAGGTGGCCATCCATCCAAGCACTATCCTGGCTCCTGTGAGCTGTTTAAACGGTACTTAACGTCGCGCTGTAGAGTGTACTAGCAAATGATTGAGAACACTAACTTAAATAAATATGTATATGTCGGTTGTGAATTATTAAAGGCGATTGTATGAAGTGGAACCACAGTTTGAGGCGGTGTCTGTTTTGTGAAAACTGAGTGACCTACTGCTGTAGAGCCTCGTGCTCTCATTCTTCTGCTGTGGAGGAGGCTGGATGCTTGACCTGGTGAGGATGAAGCTTCTACTCATATCGCAGCAAAATCAAGAAATGTAGAGAAATCACAGAAAAGTGTTTTTTTAACACTCGGGAATATTACACAGAAACCCAAGAATCCCTCTCCCACAGAAACCCAAGAATCCCTCTCCCACAGAAACCCAAGAATCCCTCTCCCACAGAAACCCAAGAATCCCTCTCCCACAGAAACCCAAGAATCCCTCTCCCACAGAAACCCAAGAATCCCTCCCACAGAAACCCAAGAATCCCTCTCCAACAGAAACCCAAGAATCCCTCTCCCACAGAAACCCAAGAATCCCTCTCCCACAGAAACCCAAGAATCCCTCTCCCACAGAAACCCAAGAATCCCTCTCCCACAGAAACCCAAGAATCCCTCTCCCACAGAAACCCAAGAATCCCTCTCCCACAGAAACCCAAGAATCCCTCTCCCACAGAAACCCAAGAATCCCCCTCCCACAGAAACCCAAGAATCCCTCTCCCACAGAAACCCAATAATCCCTCTCCCACAGAAACCCAAGAATCCCTCTCCCACAGAAACCCAAGAATCCCTCTCCAACAGAAACCCAAGAATCCCTCTCCCACAGAAACCCAAGAATCCCTCTCCCACAGAAACCCAAGAATCCCTCTCCCACAGAAACCCAAGAATCCCTCTCCCACAGAAACCCAAGAATCCCTCTCCCACAGAAATCCAAGAATCCCTCTCCCACAGAAACCCAAGGATCCCTCTCCCACAGAAACCCAAGAATCCCTCTCCCACAGAAACCCAAGAATCCCTCTCCCACAGAAACCCAAGAATCCCTCTCCCACAGAAACCCAAGAATCCCTCTCCCACAGAAACCCAAGAATCCCTCTCCCACAGAAACCCAAGAATCAGGGCGCTCACTGCGCATGCGCCTCGGAAGTAAAACTTGGCTGTGGAGGAGCGCGGCCTCGGGACCTGGGACCCGGGACCAGGACTCAGCCACCACCACCACGCAGGTAGAAGGGGACCCGACCGCACGGACCCCTCGGGGGGACCCGCCCGGACCCCGCAACCCACCCAGGGTCTCCTCACCCCGCTCCGCCTCTCGATCAGAACCGAGCTCAGGTGGCAAGGTCCGCGACAAGACCCCGAGCGGACCCCCATCTCGAAGCGATCTTGCCCAGAGGTGTAGCAGGAGATGCGGAGAGCAGCGTGGGGCCCGGCTGAGCCGAGACGTTGCGTTTCCCTCGCTCCGTCTCCACGCGCAGGCTACCACGGGGCTCCGCGAGTAGCCAAGGCCCCACAACGGACCCCGGCCCCGGGACCGAGGGCTTAGTGGCCCCCCTGCGTGGGGATTAGGGACTCGAGGGGGTTAGAGGACCCTGGGACTAGGGGTGGGTTTAGGGGTATAGGGAGTCGGGGATCTGTAACCCACTTTGCCTCACTGAGGGAGTGGGTCTGATTTAAAGGGACAATAGTAGCATGAACACAACACGAGTAGCATGAACACAACACGAGTAGCATGAACACAACACGAGTAGCATGAACAATACGAGTAGCGTGAACACAATACGAGTAGCGTGAACATAACACGAGTAGCATGAACACAACACGAGTAGCGTGAACACAACACGAGTAGCATGAACACAACACGAGTAGCGTGAACACAACACGAGTAGCATGAACAACACGAGCAGCGTGAACACAACACGAGTAGCATGAACACAACACGAGTAGCATGAACAATACGAGTAGCAGGAACAACACGAGTAGCGTGAACACAACACGAGTAGCGTGAACACAACACGAGTAGCGTGAACACAACACGAGTAGCATGAACACAACACGAGTAGCGTGAACAATACGAGTAGCGTGAACACAACACGAGTAGCGTGAACACAACACGAGTAGCATGAACACAACACGAATAGCATGAACACGACACGAAATGCTTGAACACAACACGAACAGCATGAACACAACACGAACAGCATGACTACAACACGAACAGCATGACCACAACACGAAATGCTTGAACACAACACGAAATGCTTGAACACAACACGAACAGCATGAACACAACACGAAATGCTTGAACACAACACGAACAGCATGAACACAACACGAACAGCATGACCACAACACGAAATGCTTGAACACAACACGAACAGCATGAACACAACACGAACAGCATGACCACAACACGAAATTCTTGAACACTACAACAATGACAAAAACGGCATCGTTAACGCAGCGACTGCATTGCCAGCGTTAACAGTCCAGCAATGTTAACGCAACAGCAGTTATAACATAATCATTGTCAGCAGCACCAATATTACCCTTAACACAACAACAACCAACACACTCGCAATAACATTACCACAACAACATTGTTAACACGCAGCAGCATTAACACAACAACAATCACAGCGTGACGCTGCTGCCGCTCATTCCCACGTGTGGCACTCGCCGAGTGAGGAGGAGTGGTACTGGGTGGTGGTACACGCTGAGTTGCAGTAGACTAAGGTGTACACACCAAGTTGTGATTGTGGTACAGAGTCATTGTTGGAAACATACCGTCGTGCTGTTACACTCACCTCTGTGCACACTGGGTTGTGGAGGTAGTGGTACACACAGAGTTGTACACTAAGTTGTGGTGTTACACACTAAGTCGTGCTGTCACACTCACCTCTGTGCACACTGGGTTGTGGAGGTAGTGGTACACACAGAGTTGTACACTAAGTTGTGGTGTTACACACTAAGTCGTGCTGTCACACTCACCTCTGTGCACACTGGGTTGTGGAGGTAGTGGTACACACAGAGTTGTACACTAAGTTGTGGTGTTACACACTAAGTCGTGCTGTCACACTCACCTCTGTGCACACTGGGTTGTGGAGGTAGTGGTACACACAGAGTTGTACACTAAGTTGTGGTGGTGGTGTTACACACTAAGTCATGCTGTCACACTCACCTCTGTACACACTGGGTTGTGGAGGTCGTGGTACACACAGAGTTGTACACTAAGTTGTGGTGCTGGTGGTGGTGGTGTTACACACTAAGTCATGCTGTCACACTCACCTCTGTACACACTGGGTTGTGGAGGTCGTGGGACACACAGAGTTGTACACTAAGTTGTGGTGCTGGTGGTGTTACACACTAAGTCATGCTGTCACACTCACCTATGTGCACACTGGGTTGTGGAGGTCGTGGGACACACAGAGTTGCACACTAAGTTGTGGTGCTGCTGGTGGTGGAGGTGGTGTTACACACTAAGTCAAGCTGTCACATTCACCTCTGCGCTGTCGACCGTGGCAGTGCGGACGGTTACTACGGAGCCGCGGTTGCCAGGGAGACGCAGTTGCCAAGGAGTTGGCGTTGCCATGGAGGAGCCCGGCTCTACGCGCAGGGCGGATGGGTCCTCAGAGTCCCTGTCGACGCTGAACAGCGAGGAGTACGTGGTGGTGTCCGGCCAGGCCGACGATACGGAGCGCCCAGCCCTCAAGGTGGGAGACGACTCCTGCACCGAGCCTGGCACAAGCAACGGGGTCGGCGCCAGTGGCACATGGTGGCAATGAGCGATGGATGCTGCGGCGGTTGTGGCTGTTGTGTGAAGTAAACTTATTCTTTGGTTCTTTCGGTAAAGTCACGTAGAAAATAAAATAAAATAATAATAGAATACGACGTTTCGGTTCCAACACAAGCAACCATCATCAGGCAAGAATGAATGATGAAACGCTGACACGGGAACAGCATAGGCAGACACATGCAGAGAGAGATACACACAAGGACAGCACTTGTCCCGACAGCCTATTATGGCTATACAGGGGATATTTGTCATTGTGTCTGTGTGGGGAGTGGTAGTGTCGTAGTTATTGCGCTGCGCTACGAATCTGACGACCTGAGTTCTATTCCTGCTCATGGCTACCAACACCAATGACGATTATCTGAACTGGTCCTGGCCCTCCCCTAGGTCGACTCAGCCTTAAATAAGTACCTGGTGCGATGTGTAAATATCACCATTAGGGAGACAAAGGCGGCCAGGCGTCATACTGGTCACACCGCCCTTCTCATGTGCTGTGCCGGCCTTCAAAGGTCCTGGCCAACAGCCCCAACGGTGTGTTAAATGCTACACGTGGGGATCTTTGTCTTTACCATGGCAGATCGTGGGCAATGGTAGTGAGCAACAGCTCAGGCAGGTGCTGGCCGAGGTGCTCAGTGACGCCACGGACTCCTCGCCCCGCGAGGCGGGGGCCAGCGCCTCCTTGGAGCTGGCGCCCAGCGGCCAAGGGGAAGGGGCGTCGGGCGGAGGAGGGGGAGGCGATGAGGAGGACGTGGAGGAGGAGGAGAGGGAGGAGGAGAGGGTGGGAGCAGATTTGATGGAGGAGGTGGAGAGCGAGACCAGCACCCCGCTGGTCAGCCCTGTGGCGACCCCCACCACCCCCGACATTGACCCCTGGCAGCTGGGGACTGGAGGTACCCACACCCACACTCACTGTGTCACTCACCTTGGTTGGGTATATGTGGTGCTCGCGAGCGTGCGGTGCTTGTGAGCAGGTGTTGTTGGTGTTTGGTTCTCGTAAGTGCAACGCTGGTGAGTGTGTACGGAACAAAATTGTGCTTTCGTGCGACTTTTTTTCTTCGTGTGTGTGTGTGTGGTTCCACTGAGAGTGTGGATCCAGTGAGAGTGTTGTCTCCAATGAGATAGTGTAGTCCCACTGAGTGTGCGGTTCCACTGTGAGAGTGTGATCGCAGCGAGTGAGTGAGTGTGTGTGCGGTGCCGGGCGGGCAGGCAAGGAGGAGGAGAACGTGCAGTTCAGCAAGCTCACGTACCTGGGCTCGGCGTCGGTGAACGCGCCACGCAGCGAGACGGAGGCGCTGCGCATGATGGCGCTGCTCCGCGAGCAGTGCCAGGTGCCCATCGAGG